CTACCTATCCACTCTTTCCAGCATACGGCTTCTTAGTCATGTGCACTATTGAGTGTAGTAATATTGGCTCTGAGTTTTGGGAAACTGGTCATAACCAGAAATGTACGCGAGTGTCTAGGTCCTCCAGATATAGATGATTGCGTGAAAACAAGTGCAGCTACATTGATATTCATACGATACACTTTTACGTTTCAGCACACATGGAGGCCAAGATTTCTGGTGTGTGGGTGCCGGATCATATCTGCCCTCGGAGCGGTATTTAAGGCTAGGAGTTTTGCTATGACGCTATTGCGAAACGTCATAATTTTTTTATCTCGTGCCACTCTGGGCGTTACACGTTTCGAAAATATGTGCAGCCATCAGGTTGATTCCATACAATCCCTCCCTCCCTCCCAGTTAGAGGTACTCTCACCGCCAGGAGGCCAAGAGAGAGGCTGAAAGCACATCACCTGATGTGCAGCCCCAAAACCTTGGAATCTATAATAGCGACGAAAATTTGGGAGAGCGTAAAAAATATAGCCCTCCCAGTTAGAGGTACTCTCACCGCCAAGAGGCTGAAAGCACATCACCTGATGTGCAGCCCCAAAACCTTGGAATCTATAATAGCGACGAAAATTTGGGAGAGCGTAAATAAAAAATATAGCATGTCCAGCGGCATTTAACCGCGGTGACCCTGAACTTAACGGAATGAACTGAGCTAGACCCTGACCCTGAAACGTGCACGCATTTTAGGGCGCGTTGCCTGAAGTATTTTCGCCATCGGGACATGCTAGATTTTTTTGTTATACTAACTAAAGGGGGAATTCGGTTGTGGTGTTTTCCCAGCACGGTGGAGATGTTCAGAGTGTCTATTAATACATTTCTCAAATCTTTAATATTGAAGGTGATCAGCAGCCATCCCCAATTAACATCCGTTTAGGAAAATGCTGGACAATCTCCTTTCGTTCACGATTCTCGCGCCATCAAAATGCATATGGACAATGAATTCAACCTTCTGTTCATCGTGAGTTTGTTTTTTGGGTCTAGCTTTCAGGCTGCCTATCAAAATATCTTGCAGTTGACCTATGTGGACAAATTTTTAACTTCCATAGCACTCGAGTTTAGAGACAAATACAAAAATGAGTTGCGCGCGAACAACATTATGTGTAAATTTGACGAACTAGCCGAGATTTATACAGAGAATTTGAAAAGAATTGAGCGAGAGGACCGTGCTTTGCGTAAATCTGCTAAGTGGGTAGCTGCTTCCTAAAATTTACTGTCAGACCAATGCGTACCTTCGAGGAATCCGAAAAGTCAAAGAAAACGGTGGCCTCCATGATCATATCAGGACCCAAGAAGTCTGAGCGAGTCGCTCCTGAGAAGAAAGCGTCCAAGACTGAATCTCCGAAGCTGTCCGAAGGCCATGAAGGTGCGCTTATTCCCGTGCTTTTTATTCCGTATAGTTCAGACGGATTCTGCCGAGGATATGCTGGCCCAGAAGAGGCGAAAGCTCGCAGAGAAGTTGAAAGCCTCAAAGAAACCAAAGGAATCCACCAGGTAAATATTTTATTCGAAATATTTCTTGTTGTCTTGGTTTTATACATTTATCAGACGATGTGTCGTGGCAGATAAACTGTACTGCACCTTTTCATATTACTCGGCCAGTCAGCATCGCCATTACTGACAGCATTAAAGCACTCGCAAACCTGTGGGCCAAAATATTAATTGATCTGGTTGGAGCGTCACATGAAGAGGGACAATCGACGAGCCTAATATTGGTCTGGATTGCGACAGGGCTTCATTTGTACTAGTGTAATACCCACATTACTGGTTACGGCATCTAAGAAATGTCGCACTCAAGGCGACGTTGAAGTATGGGGGGATATTTGAATAGCTAGAAAGGTAGATGTCAGTTCATTGTCCGCTATGCCGTATACGGCAAGTAAGACGACCGGGTTTATGAAGCCAGATAACGACCGATGTAGCAGAAAACCTGCCGCAGTCGTCATCATCCAGAAGAATTTTAAAGTAGCATATTCGTAACTGGCGAACAACGGTGACGATCCACTTGTGGCTGGCATAACCGTTTGAAGTGCCCACATCCTCAACCCCCAGTCATACACTATGGATTAGAAAATGGAAAGTGTTAAAGGTTAGCAAAAATTTAGCAAAATATGGGATACATTCATTGAGGCTTTCGGGTTAGTAGCTTAGGTGCCGGGCTACATTCGAACGGATGGACGTCAACCGTGCGTGGATTTTTTGGACATACTTGCTGAACTCTATGAAGCATTCAACTGGGTCTTTTGCAGGTGGTGATCCTCTACAACTCCTCCATGGATCGGTTGTGGATTTTGAGCTCTACAGGGGAGCAAGAAAACACGGACTGTTTTAGGTGATGCTGTCCTTTCATCTTGGTGCAATCATTCTTACGTCCGCAACAAAGTAGTGTGTATTGCACTGGGATTTTTGCTCTTGGAGCTCATTAGCAGTGCAAATCTTTGGTTGCTCTGGAGTTTTGAACTCCCGACATCCGACATGCAATGTGAGCGCGTTGCCGCTACTCCACCAAGGCTTTAGAACGCGATTTCCAAATTTCCTCAAATTAGACATCCGTATTGTAGTTATTTCGGTGTGGGTTGAGGTTTGAACCGTCCAAGGTGTTTGATTGAAGCAGTTCCGTAAAATCCACCGTTTGATGTGCCTCGTAGGCAGTGAGTTGAAACCTAACCACATAGATAAAGAACAGGGTAGCTGAGCGATCCGATTACATCACATTACATCAATTAGCCCTTTTTTGTGGCTCGGTACTTTTTGGTTTCAAAAGTTACTCAGGTCCGCCAATTCCGCAGCAAGAGTAACCGCTGTGTGATCAGGTTTTTCTTCTCTAACGCGTAAATTTGTAAATCACTCGTTGCCTGGTACATCCCACTGTGTTTTTTCGTTCTTTCAGCACCACCTGACACGAGTAACACACTCAAGTATTGACTCGCGTGTGATATCGCCCGTGTATACCATTGTTTCCTCACATTTTTAATCTCATGTTTCGCAGTCCGACTTCATCACCACTCCAGAAACCTAACGGAAAGCGAATAAAAGAGAGTCGTCGGTGGGATAACGCCGCCTCCGGTGAGGAAGCTGCAGCACTGGACTTCAGTAGTCCTATCGGGGCGGGAGAAAGCAACGGGAAGGCTGATTATGTTTTGTCGAAATCTGAGGCGGCTACGCTGTCGCGCCTCCGTGGTTCAATGAAGAATGAATTAGATGAGGTCCACGTGTCTTCTGATGAGGAAGAGGAGTTTGTGATCGAACCTGCAGAAGTAGCCAATGAGACAGCCGAGAGTACTGCTCCTAATTCCAAAGATAATGGAGGTGTAAAGGTGAGATGCCCATTCGTATTTCCCGTTACCTTCACTTAACTGGAATATGTTCTCTCTACCTATTTGATTCCCGCTCAATGCAAAGCATGTTTTCTTCATCTGTTGTTACCAAGTATGTAACCAGAAATGCTGTGCGGGGTTGCCGGTTCGGCCTCCTATAATGGTAATGCTAAGTCTCTACTGATACTGAATCAGGAATGTAGACGGCTGTTGCGCAGAATACATCTTTTTTCACTGTGACTTCGTTACTCATGAATGAAAGGGTTAGCCAATGGTGCACACTGTTGAAAACGAAACAACTTTTAGCAACGATAAGGGGAAAATAAGCTGTTAGAATTATCAGACATATGTTTTGTCATGTTCACATGCATTTATCGTATTGAAATTGCCATGTTTTACTTTTTAGGACAACCGCGGAGGTCTTGTATCCAACTTGCTTAAAGGATTACGTCTGCCTGGTGGTAATGGCCGTATTCTAACCCGCGAAGATATTGCCCCATCTTTGGAGCAACTGCGGGATCGACTCGTTGCCAAAAATGTTGCTGTGGAGATCGCTCAGCGTGTATGCGATAGCGTAGCGGAACGTCTTGTAGGTACACCGTTGGGGGCTTTCGAGCGTGTTTACACTCGTGTTCGTACCAGTCTGGAGGAGGTGTGCACTCGTGTACTTGCCTCGGGGCGTCGTGTTGATGTTCTCCGTGATGCTTTGGATGCACGTTCTCAGGGAAAGCCATATACTATAGTTTTTTGTGGCGTGAATGGTGTTGGAAAATCTACCAATTTAGCTAAAGTAAGTCGCACGCCTTTTAAATATGTTAATGATGTACATCTCTGGTTGATAATATTGTCGTTTCTTATGCTTAGCTTGACTTTTCGATGTGAAACTGGCCGTTGATCCATTAAATCACTCGACTACTGTTGGATAGAAAGTAGAAGGGGACTTGTTAGATTATGAAAAAAGAGGCCCAACTACACCTAGCGTGAACGAAAAGACAAACCTATAAGTGAACTTGGACCGCCAATCTCCCGCTACCGCACGGGTATTCTGCTGAAGGCAACCACGTTTTGTCATGCTTGTGCAACAGGCCGTCACAGCCGACTCACTCCCCTTTGGTCTATTAAACCCCCCATTAGTAAGCCCCTTGTGTGACTTCCGCAATGGGTCACACATTGATGTCATCCAGATACACAAAGGGCTACAATGTGAATTCTTGAAGAGTGGATGGTGGGTCTTAAAGTTGGAAGTCCTGTAGCGCTAACAAAAAGGTACATCTGGGTACGGGCTCGAACTACCGACCTCCCGCTGGTGAATTGTATGATGTATATAGACCGTCCTCGAGCCCATTGGAGCACCTGATAACTACGAAGCCACAGGCCTACATATGACTGGATGATGGGCTTATGGATCCTAAGAACCTCAGCAACACGAGGGCTTTCTTCTTTGCAGGGACTTATAAGGTAGACGTAGAGAGATTGTGCATGTGACTCCGTGGTTGAAACTCTTGCCGTCAGAACCCCTCCTCAGTCAGCCAGTTTTCTGACTGATTTCTTGACTTAGCCGATATAATAAAAGGGGACGTCTTTTTGGATGTCTAGCTTCCCCATGATATCACTGCTTCTGTGCACCAAGCCAAGGTTGACCGGACAAACTTTATCTGCTCCCAAGATTGTCGTTTTACGTTTTGACAGTGCCATGAGTCAATCAATCAGTTTATCAGCTATAAACCGTGTCTCATAGGCACATTGGTTCCAGCTGCTACAGTCTGGATCACCGGAAAACGGAAAAGTGGAATATACAACCAAGCTTTGGAGGTGAAAGCATGTTCAGTTTGTTCGGAAATTGGATAGCTACACTTTTAAGGCGATAGCTTTGATGCACGAGTACCACTGACTGCACGATTGGGCCATTTCCGCCAATGTCACTAAACACTGGTGATTTGAGTCCCGGGATCCCCATCCAGGTAGGTGGCAGTTGCCCACCCAACTGAGTTTAATGGTTAATGTTTTCGTACTCCGTTGCCAGGTTATTCACTGTCCACCTCTCGGTCTTTTCCACTTAGCTGGGATAAAAGAGCTCTGGGGTAGATGGTCTTCTGGCATGCGGAGTACATAAGTAGCCCCAGTTTGGTCATAAATTGTTTCGTCCAAATAAACTGACACCAATTTTGTCGTGTAATTTTCGGAGAAGCTCTTTCTGTTGGAAAAGTCGGAGGTTCAGATCAAATTTAGTGGCGTGATTGGTGCTTCTTATTTATTTATCCATGTTTCACATACGATTTCTGTATTCCATCTTCATGCATGAATTTGTGTCCTTTGAATCCTACAGATCGCCTTCTGGTTGATCGAAAAAAAATTCCGTGTCTTAATAGCTGCCTGTGATACTTTCCGTTCGGGGGCTGTGGAACAATTGCGGACGCACGTGCACAAATTGAACTATATTCATCCGCCTGAACAACATGGGGGACAGAAAATGGTCGAGCTTTACGAACAAGGCTACGGCCGTGATGCTGCTTCGATAGCGCGTTCAGCTATAAACTATGGTGAGAGGGTTTTCTCTTGTCTCCGGACCATGCACTATAGACTTCCGACGTATTTTGTTACTTCAACTATACAACTACATCGAACATAAATTTCCGTATTAAAAGATCATCAAAGCTGGCCCATTTGTGGATAACACGGGACTATGTAATTTTGCTGCGCGTCTCACATAGACACGATATCGAATGCTAAGGTAGGTACCTGCAGCAGAAGTATGGTTACTTTATTACAAGGGTTGCGCAGGCGTTTCCGATTAGCCGTTGCTTACATGAACTTGCCACTACCTGCGTTTTCGTACTCACTTATCCAGAATGATAGGCGGAGGTGCAAGCGTCCTTCCCCTATTTGGAAGGCCCGCTTGGGAGTTTTCCATTCATGTGTAAGCTTGAATAACCTGATGGTTCTTCACCCTTCGGTTCATCCCATGGATTGCACGATGTGTACGCCTCCTGTGCACGCCGCAGCCTTTCCAAACCACCTAACTGTTTTGTGTTCCAGAAATGGGGTTTGGAAACGAAGTTGGAATTGTAGTTTCCGGTTTAGATTTTTCAGCCCATGCTACCGCGATCAAACAGGATTCAAATGATATAAATTGTGATCAAGAACACGTTATTTTTCTCAGGAAATCATGCGGCTCAGCTAGTTTGTTACCTTCAATTTTCCCTTAATCTTCTTCCGCCCNTTACCTTAATCTTCTTCCGCCCAATGCCATGACGCTACCAGAAAATTTCACACAATTATTTCGACCTACCGTAAGATGTTTTTCTCCTGAGAAACTGAACCTTTTGCTCAAAATGGCCGAGTTGTTGGCGGCTACCTTTCGAATGGTTGGTATAAAGGTCCCCTGAATTATTTTTTAATGAGAGTTTGTCAGTGCCTTCCCAGATAGGTCTTTAACCTGATTGCTTCCACTCACTCAGTTTGCTACTTTACCTCCACTTTTACTTCCGGATTTCGGTGACTAACAGTTCATACCTAGTGTTTGCCGAGGAAGTGTACCGCGTGCTCCTTACTATTTGGAGCAAATATGGCAGATGAACACTAGGTGAGGCATCTTTGTTCAGCATTGATGTTGCTATCAAATGTGGTGGCGTCATGTTGTGAGTGTTGGACGAGGTGCCTGGTAAGAGCGACTCAAGTCCACAAGAATAGGCTTTCAGTGGGTACTTCTCAGAGTTGCAACTGACTTCAACTATCTATTATTCACAAGTAATAGTGTTTCGGTTGGGAGGGGATTTTCTCACTCAGAGGGACGTATTTGCTCTCTCTACCCATCCTGAACCATCTGATGACTAAGTAGCTTGAGGCCATTCTAAAATATAGTGATATATAGTGATAAAGCACGTAGCTTTCAGTAAGTATTTCGCGAATTTGATTATATTACTCGTTGTTAGTATTTGGGTTGCCACGTCCATCTGCGAATCATGTCTGTGGAGGGGTAGCTACGGGCCAAATGATCGTGGTACTACCGTATTTGGTTTTGGCGTACTAAACCTACACCGGAATTCGTGAACTGAACTCTTGACAGTCCTATTGTACTAGCTTATTCTTTTTTTACTCTCATTTAGCCCGTGATCGCCATCTTGATGTCGTGTTGGTTGATACTGCTGGTCGTATGCAAGATAACGAACCGCTTATGCGCGCTCTTGCTTCGGTAAGCTGTTTTTCTCGTTTAAAACTCGTAATCAATGGCAAACCAATATGCTTCTTGCTCATGCCTTCAAGCTCCAAACAGTCCATGCATTAAGGTCTAATCAAAAGTTCAAATCCATCTCGACCACTCTGTTGCTCATCTTCAGTTTTAAGCACCGTATTATCGCAGTCCTCGCGCCTTCTTAGGTTTTGTGGCAGTTCTATCCTGGACGAGCAGTTCAGTCTCCGCCCCCCTATAGTAATTCTCGGCGAAATTTCTTCCGTATTCTCACGATTCTACAGCAGCACCTACGAAAGTGAGGATGAACGAAGATGGTGCTGATCGGCCTTCTTATCAAAAGAAACCGGGCATAAATTTTTACTGAGTTTTGGTCCGTCACTACTGTCGCGCGAACCAAATTTACTGATTTGGTCTCTATGTGAAGCTTCCAACTCAACGGTCTCATATAATCCTTTCAACTGATGAACCATTCGGGTCGTGTTGGCCACTAGAAATGCGGACGATGCAATTCACTCGCGCTCTTCTGAGTATCAGTCGTTATGTGAACCGCCACGTCACTACGTCCTATCTATCCTTACAAATTCGGCTAATCTTCAAACTAACTTCATGTTTTTACGTCATATTCTGTTGGGTTTCGATACCTGCTTGAAAGTATGTGTTCATTGTTTCTCCACAACTTTCCGGAAATTTCATCGGGCATTTGGACATTTCCAAAACAACCCGACCAAAGCTCGTCCACGGTGGAGGCCCATTCGACGCCACCCTGCAAGGGTGATATCCTCTTAAAAAACGATGAAAGAACTGCGAGGTGAACGCATAATATAGCTTAACTCAGTGCTCTCACGTAGAGTGCCCCGCGCCAGAATACAGGAAGATTTCGCTGCTTCTATCAGCTTCCACTATATCTTTGGTTTCGCCTGCAGGCGCGACGAATTTCACCTCGGTCTGACCGACAGTACCCTTGTTACTGGAGACCGGAAGCAACTCCCTCTCTGGCTGACAAACAAATTTACTAGATACACGACTGATCACTAAGCTACAATCAACCCAACATTCTCTATTGTAATGCAATGTGATCTGTCATCGAGAATAAAGCTTCTATGAACTTTAGTGACTTCTCGATTCGTTTCTAGGTCCACCTACTTTTTTCCGTTAATTCCGCTCCCGGTTCGCCTGAGTACGCTTTTCCCTCTCCCAGCTTATTCATATGAACCAGCCTGACTTGGTTTTATTCGTGGGTGAAGCCCTGGTCGGAAACGAGGCTGTGGATCAGTTGGTCAAATTCAACCAGTCGCTCGCCGACCATAGTATGGCTGACAAGCCACGCACCATTGATGGCATTGTACTGACCAAGTTCGATACAATCGACGACAAGGTTAGTACTGCTTTTGTCACAATTCTTGCTTGAAAACACTTTGTTCTTTTTAATTTCTTTGATTTTCATGTATGCTCAGAGTTAATGCGAGATGGCCAAGTGGTTAGAGCGCGAATTTACTGACCAGAAGGTCCTTGGTTCGACCTGTGACTCGGCTTCCCCTCTCTAGGCTTGGGCAACCTGGTAGTATCCCACCCTCGTGCAGGTGGCCTGGCAACTAAGCACAGAAAGGATGCTAAAGCTGAACGATTTTTTTCAGAGTTAATACCCCTCGTGACAGCGCACTTTCGAAGATCGAACATCCTCCATAAACCAGGGAAAGCCCCTGTTCCACTTTTATGTGCTACATTTGAACCGTACTTTTGTACTTCGAAGATCCATAAGCAAATTGCTTTGCCCGACCGATAAACTGCTGGGAGGGATCACTGTATGTACCGCTGAGTGCTGGTCCATATTTCATCCGTAATTCAGCCAAATACTCAGTGACAGCATATCCGAAACCGGAGCATCCCTTTGGATAGTAAAACTCGGAAGTCCTTTCTGCAAACCTAGAGAGACGATTTGAGATGGAAAGATGGTCATCAGTCACGTTGCATATAAGTGCGAGAAACAAATAGGGATTCTGCTGATGTCAGTGCCTTTTGGACAGCAGTATTATGTACATCACGTGCTTTCCCGGTCCACTATTTCGCTCTTTTGTTGGTTTTTACAACCGAGAACCGGAGCTGTGAATCAATAACACACACTGGTAATAATAGGCGCCTTCCGAACATCCGAATAGATCTGGGTCTGTCGTGCAAGTATGCGGCTAGAATATATGACGCAATCCTGAGCTCGTCTTCAAGCAACTTTTGTAAACTTAATGAAAGAACACAATATTACGATGGTTTTTCACCTAAGTTCTAGTTTTTAGCTTGTTGCACCTCTTCTCATTCCGAACACTGGCGCGCGTTGGTCCCAACGAAACATTGATCGCGTCGTACATATTGAGACATTCAGGAAAAAAGTTGAAATGATGGTTGCAGGAAAATTTTACCGTAAATTTAATAGCCAACAACTGATAAGTCGCCTGTCTAAACATAGCCTTTATTCCGGAAGGTGTTCAGGCCCCGTATATCATAGTTTGAGTAATTCAAAACCTCGAGTTTTCCAACACCACAGTTGCTGTAAAATCCTTCTAACAATTGTCCTGCAATGTCTCATTCCACAGGTGGGTGCGGCTATTTCTATGGCCTACATTTCGTCTCAACCGATTGTCTTCGTCGGGACCGGACAAACCTATGCAGATCTTCGTCAGTTGTCCGTTGGTGCTGTGGTCAAGGCACTGATGAAGTAGCGTAGCGCCGTCATGTGCTGCATGCATACACTTTCGCTCGCGTTGTTTCACGACCTCGAATATTTGCCCCATTCTCTGCTATTTTGCGACCCTCCCTTTTTACACGTTTGACACCAACAATCACCGTTCCTATCCCATGTCTGCGTTTTCTGGGATATGTGAAATCATATTTCTCAATCCTCTCGTCATCACTAGTGTTTTGGTGTCTGTCTGTTTTCTTGGTTTTTGTTTGTTGCCATACCTTTGTTCTTACTTTCTGTCTGTCTTCGGATGGTCATTCCTCAATTTGATGTGATGATTTGGTATTTTGTCCTTCTTCCCTGGTTGGCCACCAAGTATATTTTGATGCCTCTTTTTGATCAGATTATATGTAAGCTCGAATTTTGTGTGAAACAGAGCTACCGTGCAACCTTGATTCTTTTGGGTACAGGATGTGTGAAGGCCGTGTGCAGTGCCCTGTTCATTGGACAACACGCTCGAATTAAGCTGAATGAACATCTTTCGTGATAGAGAAAACTAAGCTGGCTAGCTAAGGATACTTCAGTTTTCGTTACATTGGTGAAATTGTTTTACTCTTAGTAAGTTTGTGCTTTAGATCTGGCGACAGAAGTCATTCTCTGTCAGAGTACGCTTTCTGCAATGTCATTGACCTGTCCCCTATATCAAGGGGTCCTCCGTATCTGACTGTTGGCTGCTTCGGGGGCCACTCCCTCCGCCATTTTTGTAGCCTATACGAAGGACAGCCTTATGATGGATATTAGCTGTCCCAGGTTTTGCATAGTGACGGAAATATACCTGGGTAGTTTTCGAGAAACACACTCATTCGCAACTCAATTTGGTTTTCACGAGAGACTCAACTGAATCTCTCGTTTATGGTATTCTACAACTGAATGTGCTGCACACAGGCCGCCTCAAGTTTCAACTGGGGCGATATTCGAGGTATCGCAGTATATTTTCACAGAAGAAACTACTCACAAGGTCGAGGAGTTTTCGGTAACCTTGTGAGTTGTTTCCTTTATAAAAATGCCTGAGTGGTATTATCCTGATGCGTGGATGCTACAACCATGAGCTTCATGGCATTTTGACGTGCCGTCAGCGATACTCAGATGGCCTTTGCGGACCAAGGGCCCAATCGTTTCAAATAACCTATTGATAAGGTTGCATTGGCACACGGAATTATAGCTATGCACACATGTTTAGGTTTATTCTCTGATTACATTTACTGGGAGGTGGCCTTAGGAAATGCTACCGTACGAACGATGAGCAGTGATCTAATCTGTATGGTGTTGTAGTAGGTTGCAATCACTGGCATGGACAAAGTGCTGAACATAAGTACTTTACTGCCGCACCGCCATAATGTACCTTAAGGAGGCCCTGTTCTGAGGAAGAAAGGAAATGTGTCAACGCGGACGTCACTGGCCTTTTTCAACGTCAGTGTCGTAATGCGACCTCTTCCTGGGAGACCGTTTTCACCGACGGTACCCATACTAATCGTTATCGCCTCCATAAATGCTTCACAAGTCGTTTAACTGCATCATATATACACAAGGGAGACAGTGGGCGACTAATTGACACGCGCAATACATGTCCAGGGTGCCACAGCTGATCATGTTGGATGCGTCGTTTATTCACGGTCTCTGCTGTATGGCTGAAAACGTTTTCCGCCTGTATACGAGCTGCAGTCGTAAGTGCATCGGTTGAGCCGGCCGCATCTCCCAACCGTCCAGAGAAACAGTCTTTATAACGTAACTTGGGTAGCGTAATGATGTTGATCCCCTTGACCATAGCTTGCAAAAAATCAGTTCATACAAAACTATCCTTATCTTGATACTTCCATCGGAGAGTGAATCTTCTGTTTTTCCGTATCGACGTGTGGTTTTTTCCATCGGGAACTGTGCGAATACACTTTCACCTAGCAAGTTAGACTTAGTACGTTGTTACCTCTAGATGGACGTAGGTCACCTGTGAGTTGACTCAGCTTGTTGCTGGACCGAGGTTACAGGAGTCGAAATGCAGTTCAATAAGAAGAAGCACACCATCTCTTCGTCGAGGAAGCAACCCAGTAGGAGCGATTTTGGCAAACCTAAAACTTCCTACACAAAGGTGCTGCCATTTTTTTATCTGAATGGACTGGAGGAAGCGTGTTCGCTTGGAGCGTTTACAAATTTCTGTTTAGCTCTCAGCACGACACTTGACTCGTGTATGAGCAGTGTGTCCGGCACCGGCGATAGGTAGTTTCGATCCGGACTTTGGCTCCTGCATCTGTGAACTGTCAGTAGCTTTATAACTTTACTTCAGTTTGAGAACCGACCGTTTTGTGTAGAGGAGCGTTTAGCCATCATGACAACGGTTTTCTGAACACTGCAGCACATTTCGTCAGTTGTTTATAGGTGCATTCTTTGCACACTCAGTTGATGTGAAGGTAAGACTTAGATTGGTTTTCGGTTACTAGCTTCCAACCGAAAGGCTATTTCTGGCCTAGTTGTATCAATAATTAAGATACCGAATCGTTTGTCCTTCATAAATAGCACTGTTAGTAAGTTTCGTTTTAGGTTTTTGTTGTGTGGTTGTGACGCCCGGCCTGTTCGAGCATCAGGACTGAAACGTCTTCAGGTCTTCGACAACCGTTGTCTCAGAACCGTAGATCGTGTCGGTTGGTGTCGAAGAAACCAGTTTTCGGCTGCGCAACGGGGACTTCCATAGAAGAATGTATCCAGCACCGGAAACCGCGTTGCGCATGCCGAATTATCGTTTGCCGAAGGTTGCTGTTTTCCTTGTCTATTTTAGAGTGGTGGAAGCAGACGAATGATCGACCCTTGACTTAGCAGAGGGGTATGAAGTATATTACGAAAAGTTTGGATGCTGTCGCGTGATCCCCACTGCGCCTAGTTGTAGGCACTGCAAGATTTGTCTGCTAATTGGTGTCAGTGGCGTTCTCGTTATCCAGATTGCCTGAATGAGCATCTGGAGGTATAGGCACTTCAGAATGATTCTAGTAAGCTAGCACCGAGTTCGTTCCCCGTCCACTTTTATTTTTTCTTCACAAAAAGGCTTTCAAATAAATCATGGTTGCACGGATTCGATGGTGGTGACGTTTTGGAGAACCTTCGAATCTCTGGGATCAACTCTTCAGGCAATTGTTCAGTGACAAGCTGTGAGCAAATTTATGCTGTTCAAATAATCATTCGATTATCTGATTGACTAGTGGGGGCATTTGGTGCAATCCTTTCTAAGTTGCGACACTGTATCAATGAAAGGAACGCCCCTTATAGATAGTAGAGCTCTGCTGTATATGAACTCATAACCGGTGACCATTCTGTGTTGGTTTACCTTTGGTTGCATTACGCTCCGCTTTACGTGAGGAACTTGGCTCACTATTTTGCAAAAAAGCTAAGGCGACGGAAACACTAGTTCGTCGTTGAGGCATGAACAGTTTTCGGTCTGTTTTCTCAATCAGCCCTAACCTTGTTTCGTGTTTACTATCATGTGTGAAATTAGTTGTCCATTTGGGTCCATAAACTGAATGTTTTTATGTCTGTTATGGAGGAATCATATATGACGTGGCCTTCCACGCTTCACTTCGGACCAACTAAAAACACGTGTGCTTTGTACCGTGTGACAGAATTAACTTCGACGTACCTAATGAACCTAAGATTTATGCAGTGGCTTGGTAAATCGTATCGAACTGTGTGCGTATGGGCATTGCGGACCGGTTTTCGAGTTACAGGATAAGAGTGTATTCCGAAATTAACGATCGAATCCAAATGGAAATTTGGGGCGTTTCCATACGTGTGTATAGTGCCCTGAATAAGTGGACCGATCAGACAGGTTTAGGACCGGTGCTTAAACACTAAGGTCACAATAAACGCCTCCAGTTCGGACTTCAAGGGGAAAATCGAACAGGACCAGGCTCGAGGTCGTTTGAGTGCATATTAGTCCTACTAACTGTGATCAGACGGGAGTACCTATCATTTGAAAGTAATCCAAGTTTCGTGCTGATAGTTGTTGACCTGAGTTAAAGGCGGTTTTTGTATTTATGGATCGACGTGGTACAATTGATAGCTTGACTGATTTGGAGTAATTTGTTGGTTCATAAGTTGAATTAGCAGCGGAACTCACTCCCAGTTTGAGATAATATGCGGAGGCAGCCTTTTACTTTTTCATCAATTGAGAGATCACACCATAAGCTAATCTACGGCAGACTGACCCGAGGACTATTTCCTTTCTGTGGCTTGATTTTGTGTTTTTCAAATTATGGGGCCTTATTTTAATAGCCATCCTTGAATCGTCTGCTTAATCATCTACTACGATTCAGTGCGTTTGTTCTGCGCCATTTTCGTCCGATAGTTACCTTACTCATCAAGTATGTCGCTCACTAGAGCATCAGATTACTCTAGGTGCGTATTCATCCGACTCCTTTCGATGATTCTCATCCGTTGAACTACAACATAGGATCTTGACCCGATACCTGTTGGCGACAGAAATCCTAAACCCGTTTTTACTCGACTGTGACGTTCCTTCGAGGATACCTTACTTCCTTCAGAATAGGTTGGTTCGACTGCACCCAGTGAGTACACTTGGCTTCTTGGTAATACTCGTTCACATGGATGCAGCTCTGTCTCATAAACACGGCAACCGACCACAAAATTCAGAGAGACTAATCGTCCTTGTCACGAACTTTACTGCCTGAACAAGCAACACCTGAGTGGCTATATACCCATTTCCTGCTGCTGCCTGAACAAGCAACACCTGAGTGGCTATATACCCATTTTCCTGCTGTTTTTTTCAAATTCCGGCGCTTTTTTCTAATATATTGTTGGGGGTGCTACTTTTTGACCTTTATTTAGGACTTGGAGTGATTGTTTCATCAACCTATGGCTCAAAAGCTCAATGCGATATTATTCATACTCAAAGAACGACCAGGAAGTCAAAGTGATTATTTTTATTGGCCACACTGAGCGCTGACTGCCTCATACCACATCGACATGGTCAATGTTTGGCTGCGGTCATGAGAGTATGTGTCAGCATCATGGGGCACATATACTGGTTGGCTAACTGTCAGTAACCTCACTGTGGGATGGAGGTGGCTGGTCTGAATGCATATCTACTGCTCACGTGACAGAAAACGAGGCCCCAGTGTTAGTGACTTCCATAGCAGACTACGGGGGAAACCGGAATCGAGTTCACGAGTTTAGAGGAAGGATTCTTTTCATCCTTTTTATCCATCTACCTAACAAAAATGTCTATCCTGTAGTTGGATAGATAACATGTGCCCTTTTTTATCCGGTTTTACCTCCATCTTATAAATTCGATTCGAAATATCCATAGGGATCTGCCATCTTCCATTTGCGCGGACGTATGTCACATGAACATATTTCAAAAAGCAAAGTCTCGTTGTAATCTCATT